TCTCCAAGGAAATAGTTACCTCCTACAGACCCAAGGCTTTCCAAGCAGAAGCTAATAATCTGATAGGAAACTGGGACCCTATACATACATACCCACTATTACCTAAGAAAAAGCTTCACCTTTACTGGCAGTAGCTCAAAAAGACTTTTACTTAGTATAGCACTCACCCTATTCATAGCCATCAGGCGGAAAAAGCTGTGATAGATCTCATAGAATTGCAGGAACTACTCTTGCAGTAAGGTGAAATACAAACTATCTTAAATTCTACATGGCAAACAGCAATCATCCTGATCTTCCCCCTCACAACTAATATTGGTGCACGGATTTAGTAACAGCATAGCTGTGTGTTCTGCTCAGCTGTTAACAATAGCTTTGTATGCAAGTGTTGCAAGCCCTTATGGCTTTTTGATATGCCTATGTAGCTGCTTTTCTTTCCATTTCCCCTACAATGTGCCAGGTTACAGAAACACTTCCAAGCAGCAGATTCAGAAATAGAAAGAGTTCAAGGCCATGTTTCACACCTGCAACCTTGCAGCTCTAGGCTGTTCCAGCCCTAAAGACCAGCCTCCTTTTTATAAATCTACGGCTTTCTCTAACATCTATGTTTTATGTTCAGGAATTCCAAGTGAAGTTTATGATTTTTTACTTATTTGTTTGGGGCAGGAAGGGATGGGAGGAGGAGGGAGAGGGAATACAGCATGGAAGCTATGTAACCATTACGTGTATCACATTTTATTTTGATAAAGTAATTTAATTCAGTGCCACAGTAGTTAATGCAAATTAATTTATCACCCAATTTAAAACACTGTCTCACTCTAAATCCCACAAAAAAAAAAAAAAAAAAATCAAAAAGAGCTACTCCTATTCAACACTAACATACCATTCATACTTTGGCTTCCCTAAATACTTCAGAGGGTAATAAAAGTTAGCACAAAGTTTTAAAAGGTTAAGTAGCAGTCCTAGTTTTTATTTCTTTTAGAATTCTTCACAAGAACATGTTTTCTAAAGCACTATAAATGTATTATTTAATTTACAGCAGCAGCAGAAAGCTATTGCAAACACCCTATATGCCTCCTGAATTCCACAGTGGGGGGAGTAGGAGACAAACACTTAAAAGCAAAACAAAGAAGCCCCACATATGATGCTAAAGCACTATGTCCATGTAAGTGCAAAGAGAAATTTTAACACCTAGAGGGCATTAAAATAGAATAAGGCAGCAGCAAGCATTGTGGCTTAAGCATATTTTGGTTTGTTTAGAAAACAAGCCATTCTGTATTTGGACAAATTGCCATGCAAGACCCATTTCTTGACTCCAGGTGCGATTTATGCAACTCCTGATGACTCTCTGTTCATCTTGGATGGACTGCATTATACTGCCTATCTTACACAGGACTTTTCTTGCCATGTTGCTCTAGTAGCCCTCCAAAACTGTTTAATAACCTCTAAGTCTCTGGCACAGAAAAAGATTAAACAAAACAAAAACTGTTTATTTTGCTACAAGTTGAGAAAAGTATATAAAAATCAAAATAAAACTGTGAGAGAACAGAACTGTAACTTTGCATTGTCCTCTAGAAGAAATATAAAAAGAGCTCTCTTCTGATATATACTGACTGTCCAAATGGTAAATGAAGACCCAATGACATTTTCAGAACAGGATAAACAAGTCCCTGTTCTAGCTAATAGTCTGTCTCTCTCTGCATAGAGACAGAGAGAATGCAAAGTCAGTTGTACATAGCTGAGGCTGTAAGCCACAGGAGTTTCTGCATTGCTACTTAATTCACTTTAAAATTAATTCAGACAGTAGAAGGGAAAGGGGAAGCTATTTCCAGAAGAAAAGAAAAAAAAACAGCGCCAAATGCCATTTCTTCATTTTAGAAGGCAAGAAGACTCTGGAAATAACCCTAATGTAAAACTCAGACAAATCTGCTTTTCGCTGAAACAAGAACTTCGGGTTTAGGCCACGCATGAAAGTAGCTCGGAGTCCCCCATAAAGTGTAGTTCTACTTGAGACATTGAGATGTCGAAAAACTTCAGAGTGAAAATTTAGTAATTGGCTTGCCACAGAGAAATGAAGTTGAAAGAAAAACAGACAGTATATTCTGTGACTTAAGTATGTTTTTCAGGAAATGAAGATACTTATGGTAGTAAATATAATACTTGAATTGTTTGCAAGTAGGTTTAATCATCTAATTGCCATGTAAAAGGAAAATCTATGTGCTATCAGAACTCAGCACAGCTAATTATTAGAAAGTAAAATAAAGATTTTTATCAAAAATAACGCCTGTTCTTCAGCTATTGTATATGTCAGTATTTATGTCAGTTACAGCCCTTTCTGGGTGGTTTTTGCATACATTTTGTGTACAGTCAAGAAGCTTCCCAACTGCAAACGTGCGTTTAAAAAGAAAAGCTGGCCCGAACCCTGCATTTCCAGTTCGAGCTGTGGATTCTGAAGCCTGTTAACTCCCTGGAGCAGCTGATAGTTAAAGACTTGTTTCCGCTTTTCTAACAATTTCCTGGTTTGCATAACAATCCAAAAAGAAACACACTCAAGAAGTTTTCCAGCACAGAGAGATTTTGTTTCCAACACACTTCTAGTTTCAAGGCATAGAAAATATTTATCTATAATTACAATAACTTTAGAGATATATTTGTCTACAAACATATTTACAAATAAATATGTATCAGCTACTTGGTTTAAAACAAGATTATGATAATTCTGCCATATCCAGGAAATACAAAACACTGGCTTATACCTGGTGCTTAACTCATGCCATTGTGAATAAAGAGGGGGGAAGGGAAGGGGTTTAATGTTTAATTTCCTGTTAAAAACATACACAGGACAAAATCTTCCAAAGAGCAGTTATAAAACATGCATTTGTTAGCCAAGAAACTAGGTAAATATGGAACGCAGCCCAGGCTCACTTTTATTCCTTCCCCCCTGCTCCAAAGAACAAAGTAACTGAAGGCCTGGGCGAGTATTCGGAGGCACTGAGCTCTGCTCAGTGACTAGATCATTAATCAGCCTGGCTGATTTACGCACATTGCATCCGTTGGGGTAGTTCCTCAGGTACTGCAATGGCACAGTTGGGCTAAGGTACTGGATTGTCACATGTACGGCACATGTGCCAAACAACCATTGTACCCACTACTGACTACCTTACTGACACAGCTATCTGGCTAAACACAAATAAAATAAGCATTAGCCCGTAGTCAGGCCCTACCAACAGCCAGTTTCCACCAACAACAGATTGAGAATATTGCTACGTTCAGTAGCAGCTGCAGACACTACAGAGGATATTTTTTTGGAAGTTACAAGGGGAAATATTCTTTTCAGATCCCACTGAAACTCAGTGCCATCCATCCTGGAACTGTGACTTCACCGGCAGCAATTCAGCCCTCCCTCATCACAGTTCTACCATGCATAATGACATATTAGGTTATTCTGCAATTTACCAAACCAGAACTCCTAGACAAGTACCAAACTTCTGTATGACATATAACAATTACAGCCTGTAACAATCCTAATTCTCTCAAATTAGACAAAAATATGGATTGTATTTAGGAGAAATTGAATGCTTATAACAGTTATCCACAGTAACATTGTCTTTTTGGATCTTACAATAAAAGTAATCCACCAAATACTTTCTGTCTACTGTCTTAAGGTCACAGTCAGGTCCCTCAGTGCATACCTCACACCATGGAATTGGGGAAGTTGTGGTACGTATTGTGACCTGCTGGGATTCACGTTCAAAGTTAGATGTAAACAACTCTGTGAGTGGCTTCAATTTTGTTTTGTTTTTCAAATGAGGATAAATTTGTTACTGCAGATATAGCTCAAGAGCTTTCTTAGCTTTTCGTAGCATATTATTCAAATTAACACAGCTTAAGCTTTTTAAGCAGATGCACCTTAACACCTTCTAGTCAAGTTTCATATTTGAGGCAAGAAAAGAAAGGCATAGAGATTACATATCTCTCCGGTGAATTAAACCTGAAGGCAGGCATGTTGGATTTCTTGCAGATTCTTTGTAAAACTGGCTTTGAAACAATAAACAGTCCTGAGTTTATTTCTAAAACCTTCACTTAACAGCTGTTGTAGGTATTTGTGCTCTTTCCTTAAGAAATCAACCACTGTTGATTACTGACTTAACGACGGTTCATCAGTGAACCTCATACTACTGTATGAGTTCAAAATCTTCCTGATTATTTTCACTTGATGATAACTGGACTTTGTGCTCTGATCCCATGATTCTTCATGTGAAAAGACAATTGACTAACAGCATTAGGAGGAAGAAAGGGAATAGGATGGAGAAAATCTAACACAAAATGAGTCGACTTGCCTTCTCACTACTGTATGTACCCCCAAGCAACTAAATTTCAGGAAAATAATGTTTCTGGCCAACAGTCAAAATATGTAAGATGTTATACATCCTTTGCCTCACTGTACGTTCCTACTGCAGACTCCATGCAAAAGCAAGATTGTTTGTTTTTTTAATTTTGCTTCTCAACAGTACAGCAAGTTTACAAATATTTACTGCGAGTCACATCAAGATATTAAAGATTCAAGTGAAGTAGTGCTATTCTCTAGTGCAGTGGTGACCTGAGCCTTTAATCCAGATGAATTTAATTGTAAAGTGCATTAGCTCTTCTCATAAAAGATTTGCTTTAATTTTAGTTCTTTCTCCATTTATCTTATGGCTATGTAGTCTTCAGTAGAGGTCAAAGAGATTTCCCCAAAGAAACAGGAGCTGCTTCTTTTTTAGAGGGAAAAAGCACATTTAAGACAGTTTGTCCTACTTTTAAACATACTTCACAGGACAGTGCTCTCTATACTCTCCTTTCTCTGTACTCTCCTTGGCTCTTTACATGCTCCAAAGCAATTAAACAAGCATGCAGGTGCATGCACACATGTAAACAAATGAAACATAAAATGAAAACACCTACTGAAGACAGGATATACAGCCCATCTGCTGCAAAGACTGAAATTATTACTAACATCTTACCATCATCCAGCTCAAGACAGAGATTGTAAACAGCCAGAGGCCTCTTGGTACGTTGTCCTTGTCTTCTTGATTGCCTTGGTGGGGCATTTGGAGGAGACACTGGCGTAGAGATTGGCTCAGGGAAAGTGGCATCAGGCAGGGTTTTGAAAATCTGCAATCAAGAACACAAAGGGTGTTAATTATTTATTGCGAAGAGCAACCTGTGTAATACAACTGTAAACCATTATCAAACAACATTTGTTTTGGATTTAATTCAAAGCAGGCAGGAGCCAAAAATCCATTCCTTCAAGTTTGGGACTATGCCGTGGGTCTTTAATGAATGCTTTTAAAATAAATAAATAAATAAATGTAATATGAAAATAAGCGAGAGTACTGTCTACACATTAACCAAGCTGCAAATCAGTTAATCCAAAGACAAAATATTTGCAGCCATGCTTGCCAGCTAGGATGGAGGGGAAGGGGAAAAAGGAGGATACTAACTTTATGAACCAGTAACCAAAAAGAAAAAGATTTATAGCTTTAGCTAGGACCTACAATTTCACCAGAATACCCATTTTAATTTTCAAAACTTGTGATATCATTATAATATCAGCCATTTTAATAAAAAAACCCTATACTCTTGAAGAGAGCAAGGGGAAAATTTTGAGGGGAGGGGTTTTTAAGTGAGAGATACCATAGTAACATACCATGAGAGAATTTTTTCAGTTAACTATTGCATATTGAGTCACATTTGTGTTCAATGATGGTATTCACAAAGATGCATATGAAAAGGATTGCATTTCTTGTCTTCATTTTATCTTTTGATTCATGACCATTAGCGTATCAACACTCTATACAAAATACCATGTCATTTCTCTCTGGATTAACCAGCAATGCAGATTTGCTCAATCTGATAGCATTTCTGCTTTAACTGCCACATACAGGGTACAGTCTGATGATGCTGATTTACTTCTAGGAAATTATCAGTGTGCTGACGTACAATTTAACAGCAGCCTTTTATAAGTGATCATGGCAGATTCACATGAACGAATTAACTTAATATGTATTTCATCAAAGAGAAAACAACAGATAAAAACACAAACAGCAGCTGTACAAGAAAAGCCCTGTGTCTGTACAGCACCTTACAGTAATGCAACACGGTAATATAACAAGATATAATGAAACAGTATATAGTGTTCTTTTACTCTGCAACTTTACACGGCCACATATCTGTATAGGAAATATTATAAAGAGGAGACTCATAATGAATCTTCGAAGGAGAAGCTTTTTATGAAGTAGAAATTCACACAGAAGGTACAAAAAGCTGCCACATAACACATTTTTGCATTATTACAGCACATGTCAGGTGCATCATGAAGCTAAAAGCCAGACAGGCTACTCTACAGGTGAGAAAAATGTCATAAGCATCCTGGGGTAAGGCACTCAAGACATCATGTTAAAAGTATAAGAAACTCTACACACCATCATATCCTGGCCTGTTAGCCCTGAATATTAACACGTGTAGGAATAAGCTGACCTAAGAACCCATGCATACACTGCCTTATAGCTCCTTAATCATCACTATGGTACTGGCAGGTAGAAGACTGTGCTGGTACAAAATAATCAGAAACACCATTTTCCATGAAAACTAAGGAAGAATGACCATATTGCCAAAACTGGGCAGCAATGGGCTGGAAGCCTATGTATAGTGTGCAAAGGAAAGATCCAGTGGAAATAATGACCTTCCTTCCCAATAAGTGAATGTTGCCGTGGTGGAGGTAAAATGATATAATTTGAACTTCCCCATACCAGCGTTAAGAAAACCAGCTCCCACTCCTTCACACACCTATGATCAAGGGATTATAAGAAAGCCCCAAAATAGCGCAAGGATCTCTGTATAAACCAAATGTTTACAAAGAAGAAAGGAAACAGTCCAACCTGGCTCTCCCCAGTACCGACATGGCAGCACTCTCAAGACAGTGACAAAGCTCTAATTGTGCTCAGAGTGCTAAAGCCATTTCTTAAAACATGACGCAATATAAAAATCTAATATCTAATGTGCACCCGCATGGCACTTGGCTAACAGTACCACAGTGCCCCCTTATGTGTAAATACAAGGCTAGATTGAGCAGTTTTAGGGATAAATATTTGCTTCTGAAAAATTCTAAAGTACCAAAATTTTAAGTGCCATCTTTTCCATGGACTAAGTGTTGCATTTGGGTAAGTAACTCTCTGCCAAGAGGTTTCAGCATGTTGTTTACTATGTCACATTCCACAGCTGTGTTTATTCGTACAGCCTTAACCACGCATCACCACTGAAATTAATGATGGTGAGAAGAGCAAGTATTCCCCAGGAGTACTTCATAAGAGATGAGCTTTCTCATATGCATTTAGGTGACTTGCACTGGTTGCAGTAAAGTTCTTAAGTGTTTTTTCCTCATCTCTCACAAACATTTTGATATACTTTCCTAAAACTATTAGCATTAGAAAGTAAGAGAGTCATAAAAGCAAAACACAACCAAAAGAACCATAAAAGTGATCCTTACTCAATGATACTCAGTGCCAGGCAGTCAATAGGATAATAAACTGGGAGACAAGTAATGAATCCAAGCACATTTCTAACTCTAAGTAGCTATGTGGTGAAAAAATGGTTGGTGGTTTGTTCTGTTTTATGGGGGGGAAAAACGCTTATACAATAAACAGGAGAAATAATGAGAAAGGAGTGAAGTCACACTTCAAAAAGTAGCAGTCCAGCACATGCTAGCTAACTTCATAGTGATACTGGTGGCAGTAGTCATGAGCTCCCCAGAATAGTTTTCTCTCTCCTAATAAAACAAAAGTTAGGGGTACCAAGTCCTCTCTCTCACTGTCAGGATAAGCACATCACTTCTACTTGTATTTTTTTTAGTGGCAAAGCTGTGCACCAATGTTTCACAACAGTGTTGCTCAGCACAACACAGTACTACCCAGTCAACAGCGCTGGGCTGATGGCAGGCAGGCTAAGTTCCCTTCTGCAGAAAAGATGCTCAGGCAGGCATCAGCCCCGTCCCCTATTTCACCCTTACTCTGCTCTCAACTTCTTGTTCTAACAGACTGGTAGGGAAGGTTCATTTCTGGGATCAGGTCAATAAGTAGAATACCGCTTCCTAGGGAACAGAGATCACCTCCTGAGAGCTCCTAGGTAGCACGAGCCCACCTGTTCTGTGCACTGAGCAGGACCAGCGCAAGGGTCCACACAAACTCCATCCTCTCACTCCCACACCTCCTTGATGCAATGTTACAAGCTGTAGTGCTTTTTCCCTTGTGCTCACATTCAATACCCGTCTTCATAGAGAAGAAAAAGATTCCTAAAAGAAGTATTCAGATATGAGCTAGAAAACGCATTCTCTTGACTATCTGCAGAGCAAATTTACCCATGCAGAGCAAATTGAGAGTAACTGTCATACTCAGCAATGAAATCACCAAGTATCACAAGCTGCCCTGTAGGATGCTGAGACACACCAAAACAAACAAAAAGCCACACACCCAACCACCACTAGAAAGATCAATGGGGTTTTTTTTATATAAAAGAAACAGGAAGCATCCTGCCATCATGTGTTGCATGAAAAAGTGTTATTTGGGGTCATTTTTGTGCTTTCAAGCAGCCCATATTTGTGTTCATCCCTACTTTGGTATTTTCTTTTTGTCTTTTCAGTAGAAAAAAAAAAAATACAGTACAGCTCATTCATAACTAGACCTGCTTTGCAGCAGCAAAAATCTCTTTCTGTTGCAGGCCAAAGCTACAGCTTGTACCACAGTTCACCAACCACGAGCATCTGAAAAGCAAGCAGGTCAACCTCTGCCCTAAGAAGTGCACATACAGCTTCTCTTTCTTGCTTTTTAAATTTTTTTTCACTTAAATAGACAAGTACTTTTCATTATACCTTAATGGATATTTGTCTGCTGCACTGACAGAAGCATTGTAAGGTCTGCCTGAGAATGGAGGGATGGAGGCATGCTTCGTTTCAGTTGTGGGGAGAAAAGTTTTTTGGTTTTAGTTTTATTCAAATTTTCTTCTACCCTTACTAATTATTTAAATGCTATTGGAGTATAAATGTTTCACAGCTGTGAGTGTGATGTAAGATGCCTGCTGTGAGTAACCTGTTGCCAGAAGCACACTGGGTATGCACAGAAGACAGAATTCAAAATCATACACGCACAAGGTGAGCACCTGAAATGGCACTAATATTCTCGTGTTTTGACTGATTTGCAAAACAGCATGGGACCACACTTGACTACGCTTCAGAGTATCTTCTTGCACTGCAAGCTGTTGTCATCAGATGCATGGCAAGGCAACTACATGTATCCAATCAGATGGAAACCCTCCCCTGGAAGAACAGGATTGGAACATGCTATTTAATAGATCTCTTTGCTACTCCCAAAAAAGTCTCCCTTCAAGGAAACGTCAGAACCACCACCATCACTCATCTGGATTGCAGAAGTTACCACAGCTTAGACTAATACCTGTATAAAGACAAGAATGAAGTCCGCTCATTGGAATTAATTCATTCAAGAAGCAATAAAAATGTACTAAACCAACCTCAAAGTTTAAGGACTTCTCAGTCACATCCAGCGTTACACGGTTTCTGGGATTGTGGCCAAACTGCATCAGATTTCTAGAATATCAGTTCTCTACAATTTAGTTCTTAAAAGCACAGGCATCCTGATATTGACCTACCTGGGGGCAAACTCAGAACCTACGTGAAACAATTTACATACAGGAGAAGACTAACACATGCAGCACTCAAAATTTTATCAGGCAACAAATCCAGCTGTTAGTCACTCCTATCGCAGTCAGACCAGTAATTTAAATGGTTGTTTAGGTCTCAACTTACATGAAAGCAGATTTTAAAAGTGTACACTGACTTATGTGGTGGATCAGTCTTCAAGCTTGCAGTTTTAAAGTTACAACAAAAAAGATGAGACTCTTGACAAGCAATTTAAAACACTGGTATGTCTGACCTTTTTCTCTCCATGCAATAGTACAAAATGGATACTTTACAGGGCTAAACAAACCACAAACCATCTTGGATATACACCACTAATAACAGCTCTGTCTAGAGCAGTAAGCCCAAGATCATCCCTACATACAACCATTCCAATTCCTAAACCTGTGTCCCACAAAGTCTATGG